AGAAATTCCAAGCTGATATTTGGAAAAATTAATAAATAAAGGCCCAGAAGTGAATCATAAAACGAACATTCTTCAGTTAACAGAGCTCAACTCCAGAGACCAACTGACAGGGAAGCCTGTGCATTTGACCACTCGCACTTCCGAGGATTTTTCAGTTTGCGTTTCTTCACACTCACAGGAAGACTAGGAGGCCAAACATGGTGATACGCTCCTCTAATTCTCGCTATTTGGGAAGTGAAGGGAGGAGGGTCGCAATGTAATGCTGGCTCTGGCAAAAGTATGAGATTCTGTCTGGGAAACTAAAAAAAGGGGTTGACAGTTATGGCTCAAATGTGCTTGCCTAGCAAGTATGAGGCCTTGACTTCAGAATACCAGCAATACCAAAAATAAATAATGAATAAATAAATAAATAGGCTTGGAGGATAATATCAGTTTTGCTTTTCTTCTTGCTATATTTTCACTCTACGGAAGTTTGGACTCGAGGCCTTGTGTCTGCTAGGCCCACCCTGCTTGAGCCACACTTCAGCACTTCGTGCTCTGATTTTACTTTTTGCCTGGGTTGGCCTGGAGGACAATCCGCCTGTTTATGCTCCTCACAATAGATGACAGGGACATGCTCCCACGTCTGCTAGTTCTTTTGAGGTGGTATCTTCCACACATCTGTGTCCAAGCTGGTCTGGAATTATAATACTTCTAATCTCACCCTCCTATGCATCAGTTTAGATTTTCTACTTAGAGTGACTAGTAGGCTAATGGGTGGAATTCATATGCTCCTTGAGTAGACAAATCACCACTTGCATTTAATTAATTTACTAAAAATTTAATTAATTTAATAATAGAGTAAATTAATTCAATTAATAACTTAATCAATCATTTAGATAAAAAACCCTCATATGATGCATAAGTAGCAAAAATCTCCAATTCTATGGGCTTTCTATTTATCTTGCTAGTTATGTCCTTTGCCATGCAGAAACTCTTCAATTTGATACCATCCCCCTTATCTGGGCTTTCTTTGATTTGTTGTGATTCTGGATCTTCACTTAGGAAACTTCATCCCATGAATAATTTAATTAATTTACTAATACTTTGGTTAATTTACTAATAAAGCAAATTAATAAATATACACTCAAAAATGGCTCATTCTCTATAATGTATATATAATATTCTTATGTGACATAAGCCAAGGACTATTTCTTAGCAGGAATGAGGCTAAGTCACTTCAATTGAATATTAAATATTTGAATGGGCATCTGTCTCAGGTATTATAAAAGTTCATGAAAAGGATGGTAGTATTTTCATCTGAGAAACAGCTATATTAGAACAAAGATCCAGTCTTCAGCTTGGGTCTACCAGATTCCATTCCATAGATATAATTGCATTATTCACATGATGCTCTCTCCCATGGCCAAGAAGTTATAAACACAAACCAGTGGTAGTTCTTATAAGTTCCCCATCCATTGCTTCTTCCCATGTATATGTCTCTAGTTAAGCACATGAATAACAAAACAGACACCATTAGGATCAGCCTTCAGGAATGCAACTTATTTACCTCCTAAGTCCCCAGCTCCGAATACAGATTATGGATCCACAGAAGGTTGGGGTAGTGAGGTTCAAGGAGAGTAGGATGTCTAAAGAGAGCTTAGCGAGACACTCGTTTCTTTTCATTCTTTCACTTTCTAATACTGGCTGCTTCTTTCAGGTGACAGTCCAGAATGGAAGATGAACTGAGAGAATGGTAGAACGAGTATCTGCCCTCTCAGTTCCCTAGGACAGACTCCCAGTACTCTCTGGAAGACAGTGGGCTCCGGAGAGATAGTTCTTGCCCTTGACAAAGCCATCCTCATGCCCCTTACCACTGTGCTGACGATGCTGTTTGACCTCCCCCTACATCTCATATTCTTTCTTTTCATGTGCTCTTCTTTTCCCTTAGGAACTAAATAAGCCAACCAAGGCTATGAAATAAGAGAATTTTTTAATTACTACCAATGAATGACAACTCTATCAGCAAATCCAAACATGATCTTCACTCAATTTGCCACATAAAATAACCCTAGGGAGTTTCTGTGTTCCTTTAGCTGGTAGAATCAGTACTATCTCAACTATGTCTGATACTATCCCAACAACTTCTATTTGAAAAGACTCTGTTCTACTCCTTTCTACCCCATGCATCCTGATGTCCTAAGTTGTAGTCTTACTCTCTCTGCTAAAGATTGGGAGACTCACTCCCTAAAGTATCAAGGAAGAACTTCTCTTTTTGTCTCTTGTTAGTTTCAGCCTAAATAGGATGGTTAATATTTGTAGTTTTCAAAACTCTAGGGAGCCATTATTGCAACAATATTTTTGGAACAGATCCATCTTTCCTCTCGGTAAGCAAAGTGGATGCAGAAAATAACCCTGGAAGCAAATCTCCCAGCTCCAATAGGGCAATGGAGAGAAGAAAAAAATAGCACTGGCCTTTAGCCAGTTGTTTCTGCCAGGCTCCCTCTTGGCTCATTAGACAGTGATGATGGTTGCAAATTAATGACAGGAAAGGGAATATGGAAAATCTGTACTGCAAGAACTAATGTATGACTCCCTTTTCTGAGGTCTTTGTTGTAAGAAAGCTATTTTCCATAATTTATAGATATAGACAAGTTAGGGAAATACAGATACCCCACAATGGATGAATGGATCAGAAAACTGTGGGATATATATACAATGGAATTTTATTTAGCCATCAGGAAGAATGTAATTATGTCATATGTAGGGAAATGGATGGCTCTGGAAAGCATCATACTGTGGGAAGTAAGCAAGGCCCAAAAGACAATGGGTGCATGTTTTGTCTTGTATGTGAATCTTAGACCCAAATATAACCTGCCATCTAATCACACATACAGGCATGTGTGCTTATACACACGCTTTAGTTGACTATAATATACACAGGAGTGAATCTCTATGGAGTAAATCTTTCGACCAGACAGTTGAACAAAATGTATACCAGAAGCTGAAATGAGGTTGTGAGTAGTGGGGAAGTGAGAGGAGGGATGGGTAGAAAAGGGAACAAAGAGGAAATGCAGTCAGAATACTCAATGTACATATGTAATAAAGAAGTGGGAAACAGAAAGAGTCAGGGTAGGAGGAGGGAACAAAGGGGGTGGTAATGAAAATGGGGATGAATAGGGAACCCTGGACACTTAGCTGACAAATTACATTACAAACTCCCCCTCCCCCCCCCCCCCCCAACACACACACACACTTTGTTTTTTGCCAGTCCTGGGGCTTGAAATCTGGGCCCGAGCACTGTCCCACTTGAACCACAGTGCCACTTATGGCTTTTTTTAGTAGTTTTATTGGAGATGAGTCTCACTGACTTTCCTGCCCAGGCTGGCTTCAAACCACAATCCTCAGATCTCAGCCTCCTGAGTACTAACATTACAGACATGAGCCACCAGCGCTTGGCTACAAACCCCTCTTACAGACTTTTGAAGTGCAGGGAAAAAATAATTTAAAAAAAAAAGACTGCTGGGCACTGGTGGCTTACACCTGTAATGCTGTCTACTCAGGAAGCTGAGATCTAAGGTTCGTGGACAGCCTGGACAGAAAAGTCTGTGAGACTCTTTTTTTCTTGATTTTTTTTGTTACAGTTTTTATTGTTACAGTTACATGAGCAAGGTAATGAGTACAATTCCTATCAAGCATTGTTCCTCCTCCTTGGTTTTTCCCCTACCATCCCTTCCCTCCCACCACCGCAACTACTACTGCCGGCCTCCTCCCCGGCCAAAGTTGTGAAGTTCATTTTTGACATAGTGTCTTGTACATCTCATTGTTACAATGGGTCAACCTGTATCCCTATTTAAGCATTTGTTTTTCCCTTCCCCTCCCCAAATTAGAGGAGTATATATACAAGATGCAGGGCACCAGAATCAAATACAGTGAAAACAGGGGTAATACCGTTAGGGGAGGAGCATACCAACAAACAAAAAAATCACATAGTACATTATAAATACGTTAAAAACAATAGCAAGAAAGAAAAAAATATTTGTGTCCCTATCTTTGGGGTCATTTCACTTAACATCATCTTATATGGTCCTATGTAGATAGCTTTTGACCTTTTCTGCTTGTTCTAGATATATACTAGTTATTGCAGATAAGGGAAACCATGGGACCTATGTTTCTTTGGGCCTGGCTTACTTCACTTAATAGAATTTTTTCCAAGTCTTTCCATTTCCTAACAAATGGGGCTGTGTCATTCTTTCTGATGGAGGCATAGAATTCCATTGTGTGTGTGTGTGTGTGTGTGTGTGTGTGTGTGTGTGTGTGTATGTATATACATGTATACATATATATACATTTTCTTGATCCATTCATATACTGAGGATCATCTGAGTTGGTTTCATATCTTAGCTACGGTAAATAACGCTGCAATAAACATAGTTGTGCTAGTAGCGTTAGTATGGCCTTGTTTGTGATCATTTGGGTAAATGCCCAAAAGTGGGATTGCTGGGTCATAGAAGAGCTCTATGTGGAGTCTTTTGAAGAACCTCCATACTGCTTTCCAAGTTTACACTCCCACCAACAAGGCAGTAGGGTTCCCTTTTGGCCAAATTCCCTCCAGTATCTGTTGTTATTAGATTTCTTGATTATAGCCATTCTAACTGAGGTGAGATGGAATCTCAATGTTGTTTTGATTTGCCTTTCTTTTTTTTAAAACCATCCCAAGGCATTTATTGTTACCTAATGATAACACAAGGTCATTAGAACTGTGCACACTAACAACGGAACTCATCAAACAATATGAACAGATATTTTCTTAGATTCCCAACAAAAAAAAAACACTAAAAAGACACATAAGAGTCTTAATAACTTCTTACTTCATTGATCGTTTCTAGTTGCAGACACTTTGTAGTATAGTAATAGTATCTCCTTTTAACATGATCCGACCCAGATGTTTTCTTGATTTTGTTTTAGAATGAATTTCTTCTTCATCATCTAACACAAGGGTCATATATTCATCAAAACCAATGATGCAGCCCTCTGTCCATATATTCACATGCTCATAGAGCCACACCTGAATCGAGATCTATTTTGTAAATATCTGAAGATAAGGTTGATGGGCTGCATTGCAACAATGAGATGTACAAGATGCTATGTCAGAAAACAAACTTTACAATTTAGGTGGGGGGGATGTAGTTGTGGAGATGGGAGGGAAGGGATGGTAGGGAAAAAAACAAAGGAGGAGGCAACAATGCTTAATAAGAAATGTACTCATTACCTTGCTCATGTGATTGTAACCCTTCTGTACAGTATTTTCACAATAAAAAACTTATTTAAAAAAAAAAAAAGGTTGATGGGCTGCACCATCACCTTCTGCACCTTTTGGCCCTGGCTATGGTACACCATGGTGGAAGTTTACCTGATTTGCATTTCTTTTATGGCTAGAAAAGTTGAGCATTCTTCATGAGACTCTTGTCTCCAATAAACCACCAGAAAACCAGAAGTGGCACTGTGACTCAAGTGGTAGAGCTGAAGAGCTGAGGGACAGCACCCAGGCCCACAGTTCAAGCCCCACAATCAACAACAACAACAAAAAGATTTCAATTACAGCAGTAAGAAAAAGAGTCAATGTAGGGCTATCATTTTTTAAGTCACCAGGACAAATAATCTTTGCCTCCTCATGGCCAAAGAAGAAACAAAACTTTCCTTTGTAGTTTAGACCCATCAGAAATTCAGCAGCTGCAGGAAAGAGAAGAGAAAGAGGTAAAGAAGGGAGGAAGGGAGGGAGAGAATACAGGTCAGGGAGATTTTAGCTGCCAGAGCTAAAATCTTGAAGAACCATAGAAGAGCAGAGGAGGAAACTGAAGGACAGCTGTACTGTGTCCTGGGGCGGCTCCAAGACAGGATGCGCTTATTTTTTAATCTCATTGAAATGGAACTATCTCCCACCATGTGTCTGTCCCAAAGTTGAGGGTTAGCTTCCCAGAGGACATTATCTTCCCAATCATCCCTCTTCCTTCCTGCAGCACTTGGAAAGTTGCTGATTCAAGATAGCTGAGAGGGGCTTTGGAGTTGGAGAAAGACCAGTGGAGTATTTATGGCTTTGTGCCACTGTTTTAATAACTAAATTTGAAATGAGGTTAAAAAAATCAAGCTCTCAACAGGCACTGATGGCTCACATCTGTAATCCTAGCTACTCAGGAGGCTGAGATCTGAGAATCACCATTCAAAAACCATCGTAGGAAGAAAAGTCCTTGAGACTCCTATATATCCAATAAACTACCAAAAAAGCCAGAAGTGATGCTGTGGCTCAAGTAGTTGAGTGCTAGCCTTGAACAAAAATAGCTCAGGGACAGCCCAGGTCCTGAGTTCAAACTCCAGGACCAACACACACACACACACACACACACACACACACACACACACACACACACACACACACACACACACACACACACACAGCTCTCCATTCTTGAGCTTTGGCAACAAATGTTCTAGGCCTTCAAGCTTCCCACAAACTGTTCATCTTCCTCTTCTGATGGACAGTGTGGGAAAACTCCACCTTCTAACTCCACTTTCTACTTTCCCTACGACATCTTGAGTGACTCATAGGGAGATGGGTAGACAGGACCGGAGGCCCTTGACACCAAGATCTTCCTCTATAAGACTTTATTTGCTGCAGATCTTGTCAGTAGCTCCCAACAGTTGCCTTCAAAGCAGCAAAAATCCCCCAGGGAAACAATTTCTACCTCTGAGGCTTTTCTTTCCAATTATTATCACCCGTGCTCACAAGCCCCCAACAGAGATCACACAGCAACTATGGCTGCTGTCAGCCATTTTCAAATGCTCATGAGCATCCTTTCTAATAACAATTGAGTTCATGGGTTTGTTGCATATCTGGTCTGCTAAGTGTATTTTCCTAAAGAAACATTTCTCTATATGTGCTGGATAAGTCAACAGCTTTAAAAAAAAATAAAATAAAATAACCCTACCCAAAGACCTTTAAAGTTTTAGAGCAAGAATAAATCTAGAGAAAAAAAATACTACAATTGCTGATAGTTACAGAATTCTTTGGGTTTTTGTTGTTTTGGAGTTTTTTTTTTTTTGGGGGGGGGGGGGGGGAGAGTGTTAAGACAGAGTCTTACTACGTAGCTAGGGATCCTGGAACTTGATATATAGCTAGCCCAGTCTAACCTTAAACTCATAATCTTCCTGTTTCAGCCTTCTGAGTGCTAGAATTATAGGTATGTCCCACAATACCTGGCCCAGAGTCACTTTTTTTTTTTTTTTTTTTGCAGTACTTGGGGTTTTGAACTCAAAACACCATACTTACCAACAAATGTTCTACCATATGCTTTCCCACCCCCACCCATCTGTTTTTAGCGTTAAAAAAAATGTTATCTTTAAGTAGTTACACAAAAAGGTTAGATTGTAAAGTTGATATGCAGAGTAGTTGCAGTTATATAAATTAAGTAATGAATACATTTCTCTTTGAACAGTGTTACCCCTTCCCTCATTTTCTCCCAGTTTTTTCCCCTTCTGACCCCCCCCCAACTCCCTGAGTTGTATAGTTCATTTCCAACATAGTGTCTAGTGAGTATCACTGCCAAATTAGTTCACCCTACAAAGAGGTTTTAATTCAACGTGTGAGTTTATGAGTACAATGCATCTTGAACATTTAGAGTCTTGCCTTAACTTTATCCAGGCTGACTTTGCACCACCATTTCCTGTATCTGCTTTTTAAGTAGCCAGGCTTACAGACATGCACCACCGTGGCTTGTAAGAATCACTTCTGGTCACCGTGTGGACTCAAACTTAAGATCGTAAATGGGTCACACATGCAATTCACATACACTGAGCGTGCTTCTCCAGGAAGCTAAAAATAATCTTTCCTTTATTAAAAACTGAACCGTAAATTCAGGTTTCCCAACAGGCTTGATTAGTAAACATAGTCTTGAATATTCCAAGTAAAGGATAGTTTTTAATTCCCCATTCAGAAAAAGGTGCACAAACGAAGGCCCCCCCCCCCTCCTTACCCCCCCTCCCCCCCCCGCCACCTCGGCCCTCCCACACCTACCCACCCCAGCACTAAGGTTGGAGATTTTGTCTTTCAACTGCTGTGGATCTTCATTCCCCAAACTGCCAAGTCCACATGGCATGAAATTGCAGAGCTTCTGCATTGCAAAGGACATAGCTAGCAAGATCAATAGAAAGCCCACGGATTGGGAGAAGATCTTCACTCGCCATCCATCGGACAAGCCATAAACTGACTAGTAGATTAAAAATATGAAACAAAACTATCATTTTCAAAAGTTAGACAACAAATCACTTAGTAAAGCCAAGTCCACGTGGCTTGGAAAGTGGCTTTCTTGATTCTTCCTTGTAATGAGGCTCCACCCTCTCTGTAGCACACACTCACAGCCTGATACTCAGACTTCCGTGACATTTTCCAGGAATCTGTCTAAGGAATCCTTCGCATTCCCTATTTTACACACTGCAGGACTTGATGAGGTTTTGGTCATGGTGGTGGTGATGTGTATGTTCACCTTGTCAATATGCTCCAAACTTATACCTGGTGTGGGTGACTTTTGTTAGATAAAAGTTACATCTCAAAACATTTGGTTAAAAGATGGAATGCATTAGATGAGCCTTTACCCACACATGAGCACTGATGCTACAGAGATTCCAGAAGCCACTATGAGGGGCTGTTTCTTTAATTTTAATTTAGGAAAATGTTTCTTAGGTAAGATCTAAGAAAAATTACACATTAAAGAAGAATTATAAATTACTCAATGTAAAAACAGCTCATTTTGATTGAAAGACATTACTGAGAAAATAGAAATGCAAGACACAGACTTAGAACATTCACACTACATGCATTTTATTTTAAAATGTTAACAATAAATAAATATTGGGCTAGGCCTTAACACCTTTTGCCTTAGGTCGCTTTTTCAAAGAATCTTACATTCTTGAGGTCAGCCTCATGTTAGGCCTCCCATGTAGCTGGGATTACAGATGTGAACCAGCATGCTTGATGATTTATTGAGATGTGTTCTTGCTACCTTTATGCCACGAATGCCTGTCAGGCCTCCAAATCTCTGTGTCCAAAGAAACTTTGACCAAATTTGACTGAAAATTGTCAAAATGGCCTTATTTAAATGGGAAGATATGGTACAATTTCCTAAAAAGACATATGAATAGTCAAATAAAAAGTTGTTCACCAGGGCTGGGAAGGTGGCTCAGTGGTACAGCGCTTGCCTTGCATGCATGAGGCCCTGGGTTTGATTCCTCAGCACCACATAAGCAAAAAAGAAAAAAGCCGGAAGTGGCGCTGTGGCTCAAGTGGTAGAGTGCTTAGCCTTGAGCTGAAGAGCTGAGGAACAGCGCCCAGGCCCAGAGTTCAAGCCCCACAACCGGACCCAAAAAAAAAAAAAAAAAAAGTTGTTCACCAGTAGTCACATCAAAGTTATGCAAAATAACACCAAATGAGATACTACTTCAAGCCATCAACTGACTAATAGATTAAAAATATGAAACAAAACTATCATTTTCAAAAGTTAGACAACAAATCACTTAGTAAAGGTGACAAGTGCAGAGACATTTGCGAAAACATGTGGACAGCATATTATGGGGTTAATATAACCTGCATTTACCTTGTGATCCAGCAATACTACCCCTAAAGTTAAAAGGGAGAGATGAAGAAGAAATGCTCAAACAAAGACTTGTGCTCACAAAATTTGCTTATGGAAGGCTTACTAGTAATAGCCAATAACTGACGAGAAACAAGTGCTCAATGGTTAGAAGAACTGACAAATTTTGTATATTCATTTGGGTAAATACTATTCAGCAATTAAAAGAACAAACTGCCTGCAATAACATGGACGAATCATTAAGTTTGGTTCAAGAAATGTTTGGGACACAAGAGTACATACTTATTGTATACACATTACTACATATATATCTAATATGTGAATGCAAACACTGATACAAATCACTACTGTACCTCTCTAGGGCAGAAGTCAGTTGGAAAGCACCATAGGTTGATCTAGGAGACAAGAAAATGTTGTGACTTTTAGTTCAGGTGGTGGCTAAAGGAGAAAATTTATTTGTAAAATCCCAGATAATTTACTGTTCAAATATGTGCATTTCAGTTATATAAATTATTCCTTAATTTTAAAATAAGTGCAAATATAAAGACCATGGGTTAAAAAGAAATCTAATCAGAATGTACCCAAGAGAAAGTTTGGATAAATGGGATTGCATGAAATTGCGGAGCTTCTGCATGGCAAAGGACATAGCTAGCAAGATCAATAGAAAGCCCACAGATTGGGAGAAGATCTTCACTAGCCATACATCGGACAAGGGTCTCATATCTAAAATATACCTGGAACTCAAAAAATTAAATCCCCCAAC